AGGGGGGGGAGGGGGGGGGGGTGCTCAGCAGCTGCCAATTTTCCAAAACTCCATCATACATCCAGAGAATGTTATGCAATTTTATATATCCAACATGCAAACAATGAATAGGATAATTATCACTACTACAAAGAGTGTCCATAGAGCCCCTCCTCTGTCACCAACCATAGCCAGTCATGGCAGATGCCCATAGCGATGCCCATACTCACTCAGATCATCTGACCTCCAAAACCCGCTGCCATCTTCCTCCCAGCTTAACTAATGAATGGATGCAGCACACGGAAGTTGGCAATTCCCTATCTTTCCTTCATAGAAAGGGCAATAATAGGCAATTGATCATCCAGAGATTTCCAAACATGCCAGAAATTCCCCACAAGTGAAAACACATGTTGTCTGTCACTATGTAACTCTACTCTGTCCTGTCACCAGATTGAAATGCGTGCTGGTATTACACCAGAAGCAGATGGTTTCTATCCCGTCTACTGGTAGATTACCTCTGTCCAGCATGATCCATAACACAATCAAGCACACAGGTGAAAGCGGCATCTTGTACTCCTTATCTGGTTCACACGGCCCATACAGCTTTATACAAGTCCTGAGGACAATATACAGTCATGGGAGGAGAGGCCCATTCATGTCAGCCCTTTGTACCAATCCCTGGAGGGTATCTGTGACATTGCACATGAACAGGACAATTACTGCATTTATTGTTGAAGTCGATATTTCATTACTGTCAAAACATCAGCACGCCTTTGTGAAATGAATATTAAATCTGCACTCCAGGCAAACAGCTAAACACACATAAGGGAGCTGGTTTGCCTGTTGATCCAGTTCTGAGAGTTACACAGCTCTGCTAATTGTTGAATTTGCAATGTATCCCTTCCTGAGACCTCTATGCCTGGCCTGTATAAGCAGATACAATCACTGTAGACAATCTTCATTAGATGGCTGAACTCACCAAATACTTTTCGTCCACAAAGATCTTTATTGAATGCAGCAGGTTACTAGCAGACAATATGATGTAGCAGATGGTTGAAATGACAGCATTTGAAGGTCAAAAAAGGATAATGCCTTCCTCTCCTCATGTGCACATGTGGCCAGAAAATGGCTGAATGGAACACTCAGGAAGGAGGAGGTGTCACATTATACAAGGGGAGGAAACACAGGAAAAAAGAGGAGCAATAAACCTAATGACCACTGGGTGGCAGTGTAACAAACATTATTTATACTAACACACAATAAACATAAATGTAAGTGCATTGCCATATAACTACAGAGGCAGCACAGCTACAAAGCATAGCCCTGTCTGGCAGGGCAGACCTGATTTTTTTCCCTGCTCTAGTTAAAGTACAACATATCTAAACCCTGTTGGTTATGTGTTAACGTTAAGCACTGAGATCTTGAGAAATGCTGAATCAAGTTTTACTTGCTTAGAAAAACATTACATGTGTAAATACATCATTGAAAAAACACCTTCCTGTATATCATAGTCAAGCATGCACATAGAGACTAGCATTGCACTACAGCGCCACCTACAGCTCAAAAGACATATTGCATTAGTACATTAGTATATGCTGCTGTATTTCTAACAAACCCAAGAACAAATGAGCGGTTTCATGCAATTAGGGTGTCTGACCGGCCCCGGACACAGACATTTTGTTTCAGGGTCGGTGTTTTGTGGATGCATAGATGCTGGATGGAGCTCGTTGTCTAGTGCAGTGCTTCTTAAAGTGTGGGTCGCGACCCCATGTGGGGTCCCGCAAGTTAACAGGGGGGTCGCGATCCGAGTCCCCGGCCAGGACCGCCATCAGGGGGGTATGGCCGGTACTTGCGTGAGGGGCCCTGGCGGCCAAGGAGGTTTGGGCTCCAAGCTAGATTGTTTTTGCTGGGGGGAGAAGAGGAGAGAGACACTGACCGACGCCTGGGGGGGAGAGAAGACGAGACGAGAGAGACACTGACACGCTGGGGGGGGGAGAGAGAGAGACACCGACTTACGCTAGGGGAGGCAGGAGACACTGACCGACGTTGGGGTCCCTTAAACATTTCCTCGGCCAAAAAGGGGTCACGAGTGGAGAAAGTTTAAGAAGGCCTGGTCTAGTGTGTATACGGCGATAGCACATAGTTTTGCTTAGTTAGTGTTTAGCTGCATCTGATCGCAGCAGCCCAATAGCCCATGTGAATGAACCCCAAAAAGAAGAGTAGGCTGTAAAAGAATATCAGGTATATCCATTACCTTTCTGATGGTAACTTGAAAAATCACTGCTTTGCTGCTCCTCAGATAGGTGGGTGGAATACCTTCTCTTCTGGCCACATGCCATGGTTCCTATTACCAGCTCCTATGTGTTGTAGTGATGTATGACCCAGCACAAGGAACCACAGAGTGCAACGGTAGAGGGCTGATAGTTTACACACCCAGAAGTATGGAATCCCATCATCAGTGGGGAGCAGAAAAGCAGTGACGTTTGAGGATACAGACCACTGAAAAGGAATGCCATACATGCTATTCTTGTACAGTCCAGTCTTCTTTTACAAGTCACCCTCTGACACCTACAGGGTTGTGTCAGTGCGCTACTGATTTTGTCCTCGCACATGCTTTGGCTTTTGTCAGTACGGGACTAGTGGTGTCTAAGCAGATATGTTTATGGTTGTGGCCGTCCATAATTATTTTGTAGGTACAAGCACAGTGTCAAATGTGTGCAATGTGTACTAGACATGTGCGATTCGTTTCGTTCCGAATCAAAATTCAGACAAATTTTCTGAATCCTAATGCATCCGAATATGAAATTCCATTTCCGAATTTTAGATCCCATCCAAATTCTATTTAAAAACTAAATTGAATCGGACATGTGACTTTTCTGGCCAATAAGATGTGTTTTTCGGTTTCATCCATCCGAATGGGTCTGAATACGAATTTTCGTTATGGCAACAAGGGAGCCATATATACACATATATTACTAAAGCTGAGGCAATTTAGAAATTCGGATCCCGAATGCCATTCGGGTCTAGGAGATTCAGTTTTAGTATTAATATCTGTATATGGTTTTCTGTGGCAGTCGTAAGGAATATCCGTTCGTAAACTTATCCGAAACTGACGAAAAGTCGGATTTTGTCCGAATCCGAAACCCGAACCAAATTGAATTTGGGATCCGAATCCCAAATCTTCTTCCTCTCCCAGTCTACAGAGAATGCAAAAGGCTGATACCAGGTAAAATTCAGCTACTTACACTGAATATATCTATACAATATAATTAATGGTGAATACCGAGCTTCACTGATGTGTGTGGAGTTCAGCTGTAACAAATAGCAAAAACCAGAGATGATATAGTAGTCCAACTCAACCAATCTCCCCCGCCCGTATTCACTCCCTACAATGCACCATCTAGAGATCAGTGCCAATGGATATGTGTATAATAATAAGCGTCACCTTCATTCTGTAACCTAAGTAAGAGACTCTGCTTCTATGAATGAGAGGCAGATCTGGTGTCATGTTTTGATAATGGATACCTGACAGTGTGGGGATGATAGAACACAAAAAGGTCCATTGATTGTCCTCTGCTTTGTTGCCATCCTCTTCATAAGGATAATGACGTTGGTCAGAAGGATAAAAATGCTTCTCATAACCCAGGAAGAGGGAGGCAGAAATAATACGAGTGAAAACACGAATAGATGAGAATAAGATCAAAGTCACACTAACCTCAGGAGACGCTTATAAACTACCGGCCATCTTTATCATGTATACAAAGAACATCTTCCACAACTCCGATTACAGGAGATTAAAAGACAAATAAAAATGATTTCTAATGACTAGAAGATTCTGAAATCTTTGGGGGGAGAATCAAAAAGTAAAGACAAAATACATTTCACCGCTTTAACCCTTTTGTTGCCAAGGCCTTTGTTTGCGTTTATTGCACACATGTTATAATCCACATTAAAACCCCCCCAAAATTATATATTTTCTGAAAGACCCTGTAAAATAAAATGACAAATGTAAATTTTTTACGTTGCATATATTAGCACAACTCATTATCAAACTCAAACATGTAGTAAAAAAAGGACTTAAGTATATTTTAGAGGCCAAAAACACAATATAATACCAATTTTTTAGGTTACAACAAGTAAATATATACCCAGCATACCATGATTAAAAATTGTGTGTGTCCGTGAAATGGCGAAAAAATACTGTAGCCCAAATTGTCCATAGGTGAGGCTTTAAAAGCCTGTACAGGTCATCAGTTTAAAGATATCCATAAATATTTCCCCTGGAATTATTGCACTCACTCTGACACACACGGCAATACCTAACATATGTGATATCCGTTTTCATACGTAGGTGCACCTGACGCATGTTTACATCCCACTCGTGGGGGTGGGGGACTTTAATTGCTATCACGAGCCCCTTATGTGATAAAATGGTAGTGGTGACAGGTACTCATTAAGGTGACATTGGGGTCAATTAGACCCCTAGTGTCACCTTTCCACTTCAAATAAGCTATTGGAACACAGATCATGCTCCAATGGCTTATTGCCTGGCTTCTGCAGCCGAGTAATGACAGCTGAGAGACTGCAAGTGATGCAGCATTGCTTCCAGTCCCATTTACCAGGGAGGAGATCGGTGAACAGATGTTTGCCAGTCTCCTTCCCCGCTTACTGCCAATACCCAAGATGCCAGTCCCAGAACCATAGGAGGGGGAGCAGAGCCCGGAAAGCAAGGCGGGTGTGACAGGCAAAACTTGAGATGACTCAAAAACTTGACTCAAAAACTTGAGATGCCCGAATAAATTTATCATAAATATCTTCTCTTTAACACCCCGTTCACACCTGAGCGTTTTACCGCGCGTTCCTACGCTCGGTAAAACGCGCAACAGGTGAAAACCCATGTTAGCCTATGGGCATGGTTCTCACCTGCCTGCTTTACCACCCGTTCGATCGCATGGTAAAACGCCATACGCCCAAAGAAGTACACGAGCTTCTTTGGGGCGTATTGACGACCGTATCCCGCTGTTATCTGCCGGATAACCCCCTCGGAAACTCGCGTTTGACGCGCGTTTCTTTTACGGCAAATCGCGGTAAAACCATGCGGTAAGAAATGCGCAGCAAACGTGAGTTTCCAATACGCTGAGGTCTAATATAAACTAGTAAACATAAAAACAAATGTACAATAACAAACACCAAAATATTAAAATACTGCTCATTAGAAAAATACAAAATATGAGCATGAAAGTTTTTGCATCTTGAACTTGTGAAGATCGTTTTTCCATAAATATTCTATTTCTTGCCTGAAACTGATTGTGTACACGGATATCGGCAGCCCTGGTTGCTGTTAATACTAAATCCAGAGCTGACCTTTACTCTGTGGTTGTAAATTGGAAGTTATTTGTTTGAACTTCTAATCAAACTAGAGCCTGGCGGATAGCAAACCGTTCTACTTCCATATCTCAAGGTCTTCAAATACTTGGAGATTATATATTCTCATCCAGGTCAGGACGGTAGAATAATCAGATTTAACTGCTTCTGGTGTTTCATGAACTGCATAGGACACAAAGCAAGGTGGATCCCAAAAACGTGCTTCTGCTTCTTTTAGTCTCACTTAATAGGATGATGCAGATATATTTAAACAAATGCTACATTGAGACACAACCTAACCTTTGAATGGCGCCAAGATTCAGCTACAAACATCCATACTGTCCCACCAAATAAATCACTATAGTTGCCAATATCTTGACCTCTTGAAGGTGCTGGATCCTGTGAGCTGTAGACCTGTATGCTCATTAGTTCTAAGAAATTCTCTCTAAACCACTGCAGTCCTCACCACATTGGAGCATTATAAAGAGGTATCACAGCACAAAATCATAAGAAAGGAGCTATAGTCCTAGCCAGCAGCACGCAAATAACTTGATAAATCTGGCTGCAATAGACCATGTAAAACTCAGCTAGAACTCCAGAAAGAACTATTTATCTCCTTAACAAAATCCCAATGCAACTTCAGTCTGGTTTGCCTGAAAAAAAACAAGTCTTCCAGTTCAAAATCTAAAGCGCACCATACACATTACAAACTGACTGTGCAGTGTTTGTACAATCCCCATTAGGCTTACCAACCCTCTGTAATAGGAGGAATACCTAACCTAGCAAATCAAATTGTATCTAATGAAGCAGGCACTCGCTCTAAAGCGTTGGTAGATCTAAAGCCTTTCAAAATACTCCAAGAACAGCAAATTCTCTGCAATAATAAATCCCCCAACCTATTCCTTCCTCATAGGGAAATTTTTAGATTGTTACGTGTGAGAGTTTAAAGCACTTTTAAGATGCAAGAAAAGCCCTCTGCTATTTCACCGAAATCATCAGAGGGGGGTCACACCATATGTACCCCTGTAAATACGCTGCTTAGACTGCCTGGAACTCTATGGCTGGATTTTCACTTTTGCGATCTGTTAACGTACATTCTGTTAAGTGTAAACATGCGTATCGTTAGAGAAAAAATCAATTTGTCTCTTGGCGCTAATGACTACCGTCACACAATCCTTCAGGAGTAGTCTTTCTTGTAAAATATTCACAGCTTTTGGAGAGGCTGATCGTCAAAGAGACTCTGGGGTTCTCATCAGATACATAAAAGACAAAAGCAACAAAGCGCCACCTCTTTGTGTGAAATCTTTTTTTATTTGAATAATAAAAACGGTTAAAAATACTCACAATTATAAAATATAAGTCACGCTTGTCAGTAAGAGACCACAAGATCAATGTCTAAGGAATGTTCCGATCAGACTGCGTATAAAAAGCTGCCTTTGGTCACATCCCCACACCATCGTGCCACCGGCTGCTTTTAGGCTGGATTAAATCTAAACTTACAGGGTTATTCACGAAAGGGTGAAGAGTTTGGAGAAGGCAGGAGACGTGAACAATCTAGGACAACATAGCCAATTTGGAAAAATTCTCCAATTCAGCTCACTTACCAGTTCAGTTATGTTGTCCTCAGTGCCGGTGCAAGGATTTTTGCCTACACAGGCGAAGGTGCATTTCATTTTTGCGCTCCCCGCCCATCTTTAACTTTTTATAATTTTTTTATAGAGCGCAAAGAGGTGTGATCGCCGCCGCGGCGACCGACTTAAAGGGGCCCCCTCCCGGTTGCATCTTTCAGCCCCCGTCCCCCCACCGGCGCCTTCAGGCAGATGCTTGACCTGCCTATATGGTAGCGCCGGCTCTGGTTGTCCTACATTATTCACTTCTCCTGCCTTCTCCAAACTCTTCACCCTTTTGTGAATAGCCCTGTTAAAGTAAGCAGCAGTGCAAATGTGATAAATTATTGACTCAATAAAAGAATTAGTGCACTTAGTAAGTAAGCTTTGATTGCATTATCAAAAACATCTCTAGTATGTATTCCTATTACAATGCTGATGTTATATGCCACCAATGTGACGGACCGCCTGGTACCCCTTCTGGGTACCTCCGCCAAAGAGCGTCTCCTGCCCGCCAAACCCCTCTCTCAGCCAGCAGATTGGCAGTAACCAGCCCCTAACCCCCAATCACGAGGCAAAACTCATGTTGAAGGTTCAACATAGAAAGAGCAACTGCTTTATTAAACAAAGGACATTCACTTTAGAGACACTGGGAGGGCTACAACCCCCCCCCTCCCTTCCCCCTCATGACAAACACAGATAACAGCTTACACAGGGAATCAGACATTTACATACACAGTCACAGTACAATAGGGTGAGCATCAGATAACAGGGGGGGGGGAAAGCTATGCAACTGACTTCACTTAATTAAGTCTCCATTTTGAATAGACAACCCATGTGGCCAAGTCCTTGTCCTCCACCATTTTAAAACATATATTTCACAGAGGGCAACAGTCACTGTCTGCATATAAAATGTACATTTAGCCCCAAAATCTCCTGTTTTCTTGCTGGGCCATAATCGGTGGGTAAGAGGCCGGCCTGCAGCCCCCTCCAACTAGCACAGTGACGGTGCATTCCGTCACAGATAGTATATGCTGGGACATTACAACTCCTTTAAGAGACAGTACATATATCCTAAATGACAGTGTTCAACTGAAGTATCAACAACTGGAGGCGGAAAAACCTCTTTTAAACTTCTCTATCTTAAAGATTACATTAGACTGTACAATACATCCTCTACTTTTTGTTTTTTGGCCAAATGTTTACTCCAGGACACGCATGAGAATCGAGCAGGTGTTAGTTTCCCTTATACGCCCCTCGTTCTGCTAGCCGCATGATAGACAATGAGAATTGCCATCTGTGACTGCTACCAAGTGATCCAATGAAAACTTGCAAAGGTTGGGTCAGATCTGGAGACCTGTACATATATATAATAATGTATTTTTCCTTTACACAACATTCATGCAAAGTTTAACTAACATCTTCTCCAAGATGTCTCCAGTGGGGCCCCTAATAGCCCTGCTCCTACTCTGCACCTCTTCCCTAGCAGAAGAGAAGGCTGTCCTGCCTGAAGGTATGGAAATGTATAATTTGGGTTATTATTCTAGTTGCTAAATGTAAATTACAAACAACTTTCTTGCAGAAATTACTGTCATATTATTCTTGAGTAAGAATGCATTTTTCAGGAAATACAAAACTGAGTATAGTTATAGAAATATTCCACTTTCACAGAAAATACTGAAGATTTCGACCACATATAATTACTCTCAAATCCATTTTGTAATTCAATATTATTAATTTTTTCCATTTCCATCTGAAATCATAGCCAGCCATGATTTTCTGAATTTAACAAAAAATGTAAATGCATTCCTTGCAGTATGACAAATCAGAAACAATGAGGATGATTTACCAGAAGTTCTTCACTCACAAAAACAGACATTTATGAGGGGTATTCTGTATAACATTGTGTAAATAATAGGGCTGATTCACCGAAGGAACATAGAATATTGTTTGAAAATTCACTTTTCAATCATGTGAAAAGCAAATTCCTGTTCACTTTAAATACCCAGTCAAATGCAGCTGTTTTTCCCGTGATTGGATAACATAAGTGAACATTTACACAGTTTTTTTGAGTGAATATTCTCAGCTCCTATTCTGTAGATGGTGTGTTATAGAACACCCCTCACAAACTGAATTTACTGAATGGATCAGTACTATTCCCAGAAGCCTGCACAGATCTGGTAATCAAAAAAGATGCATCCTGATATCTCATGTCCTCATTGCCGCTCGCCTTGCTATCGCAAGAGCCTGGAAACAGCCTGAAACTCCACTTCTGCGAAATGTCATCCTAAATACTCATGCTCACTTTGAATTCCTCTATGCTAAAGCCAATCTTACCACTCATCTCTTCACCTCCCAATGGTCCAGCTGGCTATCGGACCCCAGATGCTTGGTTCAAACTAGATGACTATACTGTGGTAATTTCTTTAGATATGTCATGTATGTATTCCATTCCCCCATATACTCTCGTAGGTATAGTGTTCTCTCTCTGTCTGGACACCCCTCCATGAGAAATTGACCCACTACTAGCATTAGGCCCACCCCCAGTTTGCCACTACGAACGTTTTTTTTTTTTCTCTCTATGTTCGCCTTCGTATTGAATTAGTCACATCCTTCTGATCAAAGATGTATACTGAAGACTTCCTATATTCCTGTATTGCTGTAAGATTTAAAATTGCGGCTGGGTACGCTGTTTGCAGTATCCTTTATACTACTGTTTATACTACATGTCTGATGCCTTAATTCCTTCCTTTTTCTTTTCTTTTATGTTTTTATATGCCTTATGGTATGTCTGTATTTACCAAATGCAAACCTAATAAAACTAAAATGCAAACCTAAAAAAAGAAGCATCCTCTGTTTCAACTTTGTTGAGACACTTTCTGGGACTGTTTTGGCACTAATGTCAGTTTAAGAAAGGCAATCAGCAATTTTCACAGAACAGAGACAGGAAGAATTTTGCTAAAATCATTGCAATAGTTGCAATGGGATAACAGAAGGCAGCCAACATGTTTCAGGGGCCAATCAGCTCCCCTTCATCAGATTTTGCATGGCCATCTAATATAGACAAGCAATGTACTTGTTGCTCCTGGCTTTGACCCATAAACTCAGGCTCCGAGCTCTGTGCTCAGCTCAGCTCAGGCTCTGTGACAAGTTGCTTAAGCCCTGATGAAGGGGAATTGTTTGGCCCCCAAAACATATTGACTGCGTTATCATATCCTTTGCCATTTGTGGAATTAATAAATATGTTTCTGGACCCCTAAAACATGAGTTTGGCGCTCCTTCTGGTTCAACTACATGTAGATTTTTCAAGCAGCATGAACCCTGTATTCAGGGAGTATCCTGTTTTGTGGGTAGCTGCTGAACCTAGGCCATACATAGCACCTACTAACTAAGTATCTGGGTCTAGACCTTGCTCCCACCTCTAATTTAATATTTCATGTACACTACCTGAACATCACATCACACATCCCCCCTGTAAATCCCTCAGTTTTATATCAAAGTTGTATAGATATCAATGTTATCAGCCCCAACAGTGAATCTTTACAATGGAGATGCAGGTAGTAGTAACAACATGACAACACTCCAACGTTGTTGTCAGAGATTCTATGTTATGTTACTCACTGGGTTCTGAATAACCCTCGGAGACCCTGCAGTAAGCTCCCCCACCCTCGTTCCCCCACTGAAGCATCTCAATCCTGGGTTGTAGCCTCATTCTCAGAACTGCATTTTCCATAATACAAAATAGATCAAATATCCATCAGAGATTTCATGGGTTAAGGTGTAAGATGTCTAGCCACCAGAAATCCAGAAATACATTAAACTGGCGGGTGATTTAGTCCACCAGCTTCCACCTGAAAGCCAAATTATCATTTTAGCATGGACTAATTTGTCATAATTTTTTTTAATGCAGCACGATGTGGAAGCAGCTTTTCAGATGCATACAAACCTGTCCAGATTCAAGTTACTGGAGACAATGACTGTACCTGGAACATAGTGAGGCCGGCCAATGAGACCACCAGAGTAATCTTCTCTATGCTCGAGTAAGAAAAACAGCATTATATTGTGCATAATATAGTAAACTAGTTACATGTCAACCTACAGTATGTGTGTGTGTGTGTGTGTGTGTGTGTGTGTGTGTGTGAGCCTCCAAGGATTTGTTTCCATAGCCCTGTATTACTATGCTCCCTTAGGAAGACATCTAAGCAAGCATTTTTCATTCTTCTGACTGTTCTACTGTGGTGAAAGCTGAAATATGATTAGTCACACCAGTGCTTTTGTTAATGTCATGAGATTTATAAACCCAGTCTTGGTACTTTATTTTATACAATGACATACTGTGGGTCACTTAAGTATATATCAATAACTGGTTGATCTTGATGTATAATGGACACATGGCAGTGTCCATGGCCAAAGTGGCTAAAATAAGACTGTTGTACCTGAAAAATTAGATTTAAACCTGGACTAAATAATGAAAGATAAAAACTGGAAGTCTGAATCTTATTGATTGTCAAATTCAAGAAACTTCTGGATGAGTTTCTTCTTTCTCAGAATCTACAAGGCATATGGGAAGTATTGAAAAAATTTGAAATCTGCGCTTATGGAAGGGTTAAGTGTTAAAGCTGCTGCGCTATAGTTTTTAACGACAATAAAATAATGAGTGTGCAGCGCTGTAGGTGTTTTATGTGTTACACATCTATTAACGTGCTAAAATCCCTACAATGGGTAAAGTGTAATCCCTTTTTCAGGGATATACAAATGTGAAAAAGTTGTGTTTAAACAAATAAAAATACAAACAATATTGGGTGATCCTAGTGTCTTAACATAGCAATATCCTTAATTATTAAACAATTCCTTAATTAGGAAACAAGTGCCTCATAAAATCCGCTGTGTAGCTATATAACAGCCAAATTAATCAAATCCTATACAATAGTCAGTGATAATTCATCAAAATAAATAAAGTTCATCAAAATAAAGTTCATCAAAATAAAGTTCAATTGTGATGATAATGTGGAAAATCCAAAGTAAAAAAAATTGAAGCTCAGACAGAAATATTTCAACACCGCTGTGCAAGTGTCCACGAATCCCCCTCTGGGGTGCGCACTCACCCCACTGTTTGTGAAAAATAGACAGTGTAGATGATTCTATGCGTCCACATTCAAGGTATTCTATCCGGCAGTATCCCATCACTCGAGCATTTGTGGGATCATAAAAGAAAAACTCCTCATGGTGTGGCAAGTATACACGTTTATTTAAAAAAACATAGAAAACTCACAGTTTAAAACAGCAATAACCGGCCGGTCAAACACAGCACCAAATCCAGCGTCCGCCAAGCATGTACTTCCTGATCGTGGTATCACATTCATTTTGCGGGACTTTTTGGAGAAGGTTACTGCCTCTCCGCTGGAGGCAGGGAATTCTCCACCTGCAACTTGACGCAAGCAAAGGGGTGGGATGCAGTGACGTCATTGACCTTATATGGTTTCATGCCTATATTTGGTAAATTACATTTACCTAATATGGCTTTGTGGCCCTATGAGGTCAGCACAAGCATCCCATCCCTTTGTTTACATGGAACTGAGGGGTAGGGAATGCCGGGCCTGCAATTGATTGGGTGGAAGTGCCCATGGCACTTCCGTGATAAAAGGAGCTCAGTTCATTCTGATTTTGAGCTCATCCCTCATTCCCTTCTAGTGAGGCTAATAATAGGGTGTTCAAGGTCAACCAAGTTTCTTAAGACTCTGCAATGGTATGATATCAAAATGAAACTGGTTCCTCCCATTCTAAGTTCAGGGCTGTATTTAGATATCATTTTGCCCTAGACACTCCTGAATTATGACATCCTTTTATACAAGTTCTGTCCCTTGCCATAATTTTAATAAAGTCTAATGCTAGAATGTGCTATTGGTGGCAGCACGCTGCTAATTGTCAGCTGCACATATCACCAAACAAGATAAAGAGATGTTTCAAGCTTTGTTAACTATACAGTAGTTCTGATGCCTCTCAATATCCCCTACACCCCCTTGTCCTGAAGGCCTGTTACCTCAATAGAAATAGATATACAGTAATTGGAGGTTTGGTTCTCCCCCTCTAACCCTGCTGCTCTAGACACTAACCCACCAGTTCCACTATGGAAAATACAGCCATGGCTGGGCTAAAAAATCAGCATTAGATTTAAACTGTAATCACTCTACTTTTATCACATAAGCAGGAAGAAGAGCAAAGAACTACAAAAAAAAAATTCTGGAGGAAATAGTTTGGGTAGCTCCCCAAAGCCCTAGGTAACCATAGCACTGCAAGACAGATCAGAAGATTCTGGTTTGCAAGTACTGGGATTCAAGAATTCATGAATAACTCTTCAGGTTCATTTGGCAAATATTAGACATGTGTACGGCATAAACATTGATTTTGGACGAAACAAATAAAAAGGGAAAAAACTTTTCATTCATTTCGTTTGATGAAATGAATAATTCTGCTGTTTCAGATTTGGAGGCAACAAACCTCCGAATAATTTTAGAATCTTCTATTGGGGATACGTGTTCCAGGGACAATATCTAAGAGAGGAATTTGTGAGATTTCCTCCAACTTCCTGTTGTGTTTCCGAGACAGGAGGAGAAAGTAAATCTCTCTAATAATATACTCTAACCAAAACTATCCAAAAGGAAAAAAAGGTTTTATATGTCTGTGTGTATATGTATACATACATATATATATATTTATATATACACTGTATAAATATATATATATATATATATTTATACAGTATATATACAGTATATATATTTATACAGTATATACACTTTAACAAATTTGCTTTTATGATAATGTCAATGTTCTTCTTTCGCAGGCTGAATCCATCCGCAGACTGTTCTCAGGAGAACGTCACTGTACTGGATGAAGATTTCGGAGTGCTGGGAGTGTTGTGTCCGAACTCTCCTAAGATTACTACGTTTGAATCTCCGGGCAAAGTGTATGTCAGGGTGTTCAGTAACTCAGCTTCACTTACTAGGACTGTATACTTCCTTTATTACTCCGTCACTCCTGCAAATAGTAAGTCGATCAATGCACAACAATCTCCTGCAGTAAATAATATTTTTTGTATAGTATGGGACATGGTTGAAAGAAACCACTGTCAGGTTTTTTTTTTTGTATCTGTGTCCCATTGAGGAGAGTTCAATTCACTTCCTATCCAGCATAAAGTAGGAGAAGATCTCTTCAAATCAAGGGATATTCCATTTTAGATAGTTGTCACCGAAAGAGTGGTCTTCATTGGAAGGGTCACCCTTTGCTTATGTGGCAGTTTCAGAATTGTCATTAGTATCCCAGAGACAATGGTCACCATGTCCAATAGTGAGGGTGAACCTCCCCAACTAGGATCCAGACAGGCAGTTAACATTTTTTTCCAACTATCTTCGTGGACTAAAACAACACAACCCCTCCTATGCCATGGCGAAGAGAAGAGGGAGATGTGTTCTGTAGTCATGTCCCAGGGCAGGGGTAGGCAAACTTTGTCCCTTCAGCTGTGGTCCAACTACAAATCCCACAAGGTATTGCAAGACTCTGAGGGGGTGATTTACTAACCTAAACACACGCACGCACTAGGTGCGTGTGATTTTTACACAGCAAAACGTATTTATCAACCAAAAAGTCTCTAAAAGCATATTTCCACTAATGCCATATATGGAAAAATCATGCACATGATGCATATATAATGCTGCTTCACAGTTTAGACAAAAATGGTTAGCTCATGCATTTACATTCCTGCATTCATCAACGCAAGCAACACAACATAGAGCTAATTTACACAACATCACCTTGCAATTCATGCTTGGCTTTGCACAACACACCTGCTGGGTGTGTACACACTACAAAGGTGTTTAGATTCCACCCATAGATCATGCTGGGAGGGAACACACTACAGAGGTGTATACATGTTCGTGGTGTGTTTATAAGGTTAGTAAATCAACCCCTGAGAGTCAAAGGCATGACTTTGTCTCCCAGAGTCTTGCAATCTGTTGGAATGTTGTTGTCTTCTTCTCCTCACATATTTGGTGCTTGTGTAAAGGACTCCAATTGGAGCTAAATATTCCCAAAATGTAATTTAAAGACTATTTGGGTCATTGATAACAATAAGATGAAAAAGCATAATTCCCATAATTATGATGATTTCTAGATGGCTCAGTTGCTAGGGTAGATAAACAATGAATTTGAATTTATAAAGGGAGACAGAGCTCCTGAGAGGATACGGCTCAATAGAATGAATGGGCGATGTCCGAGTGGGGAGTGGGCGGGCTGCATTAGCCTCATTAGAATATGGACTTTTTCAGTGGCCCGATACCTCGGTCTCCCGGCCAATGAGAGCTGCGGAAAACCGAGTGGAGTGTTTGTATTACCTGTGTCTCTGTCGGACTGCCGCCAAATGACAAGTGTAGATATAACCATATCTTACAGCCGGGATGATAGCAGGACGAGACTAAAGGCTATTATTCTGTAAGGACATATCTTTCTAAAGGCCACAGTAGCTAAAGATCTCCTGAGTCACCATAATGACCATAATGATCCTTAAACGTGCTATTATAACCTGTATCTTTATGACAAATATATACAGGATCCTTATATTGAACACACATCGATCATAGTAATGGTCATACTGATCATATAAATACTTTAAAACCTATAAATCTAAAAACCATATCAATAGATCTCATGAATGGTTTTTAGTCTGCCGGGAGATATTAGGCTGCGGAGGTCCTTGGGCTTCTTATATATGACAAGGGGCCGATTTGGGAGAGATTGTTTCAGCACAGGATCTTCTTTAAGTATTCGCCAGTGGTTCTTGAGTATTTTGGAAATCCGAAAGGCATCATCATTATATTGTGTGCAGAAGTTAAACTTAAAGGTGTTACCCTCGTTTCGTACCTTTTTGGGGATGGGGACCAAGTGTTTATTGTAAGCTTCTTCAATTATCTTTGTATTATACCCCTTGTCTGTAAATTTCTTGATTAGTATTGCTCCCAATGCCTCATAGTCAGAGTGAGAGGTGCACGTTCTCCTCAATCTACCAAACTGTCCATCTGGGACATTTTTTATCCACCTGGGATGGTGGTTACTCCTGGCATGGAGATAGGAGTTACCCGAAGTCGGTTTAAAATGCGTTTTGGAGGAAATCGTACCTGTGTCATCTACCCCCAACTCTAAATCTAAAAACACAAGGCTGCATTTATCCATGACAAAGGTAAAGTCGAGTTTAAAGGGATTGTCTTTGCAGTAATCCACAAAAGCTAGAAATTCTGCATCTGTTCCATCCCAAATTATAATAATATCGTCGATATATCTGGCGAATAAGACCAAATTCGATCCGAATGGGTTATGGGACCAAATATAAAATTTTTCCCAATACCCCATAAATAAGTTCACATAGGAAGGTGCAAAACTAGCTCCCATGGCAGTGCCTCTTAGTTGAATATAAAAAGTATCTAAAAACGTGAAGTAATTGTGAGTTAAAACGAATTCGATAGCTTTGATAATAAAATTGGCCTGTTCAGAATTAAAATCTCCTGATTGGGTCATAAAATATTGTACCGCTTGTAATCCGAATTGGTGTTCGATGGACGTGTATAACAAAGCCACGTCTAGCGATGCCCAACAATAACCCTCTTTCCATTCATAGTTTTTTAAAATTTCTAAAATGTGTCCAGAATCCCTGACATAGGAGGGTAATTCAGTGACCAGTGGCTGTAAAAAGTGGTCTATGTAACTGGCAAGATTTGAAGTCAGGCTATCCATGCCTGCTATGATAGGTCTACCCGGAGGTCTGACAGGGTCCTTATGGATTTTGGGGATATAGTAAAAATACGGAATACAAGGATGTTTGATGAATAGAAAATTACATTCTGGTTTGGTTAAAATGCCTTGGGATAATGCACATTTTAATAAATCCTCCAAGATGTTCTTATATTCACTGGTTGGATTACTTTTTAGGGGGAGGTAAGTGGATTTATCTGACAATAGTCAAGTTGCCTCTGTAACGTAATCCTCTTTATTCAAAATGACCAAACCTCCACCCTTGTCTGCCTGTTTGATAACTAGATCCATATTGTTACTGAGTTGTTTAATGGCCACTTTTTCTTTTGGGCTTAGATTCGTTGGTCTCTTACTTTCTGTAGAGCAAAGCTTTTTAAAATCTGTATAAACTAACTGATAAAAAGTGGGAAGAAAATTCCCTGTAGAGTGGTGAGGATAAAAAATTGACTGTGGTCTAAAATTGGTATGTCTGATGTTGGGATCAAAATTGGGGCACCATTCGAAAGAGGATGCTCGACCATCCCATAATTCTTCCAAGTGCCTGTTCATCAGGGTCAGGGTCTGGCCCTAAGGCACCTTCACTCTCTATTGATAGGGCATTTTTCATCTTTGAATCTTTTATGATAAAATGTCGGTGGAGGGTGAGTTTTCGTATAAACCTGTGAAGGTCTAAAAAAATTGAGAATTCATTGGTTGAGGAATTGGGAGCAAAACTAAGTCCTTTTCTTAGGACTGATTTTTCTATCTCATCCAGAGGGTGAGAGGATAGATTGAAAATTTTTATAGTATCGTAGTTTGGGGCAACAGTGGCTAAGGACTTCTTTTCCCTTTTTTGCTGGACCTCTCGTCCGGCTCTACAGCCTCTTTTCCTTTTAGGTTTGGTTACCATTTCTTTTTTCGTACTTTGGGGGTGTGTGCCAAGGACAAAAAAGATCCAGCATCTTTGAGGACAGTCCCTTCGCTACGGCTATAATGTTTAGGTCTGGCCCTTACTTTGTTCCATTCCAATAATATTTCTTGTTCATCGACTGCGGAAACGCCCATGAATTATTGCCATGCGTGGGAATGTAGGGCAGCGGCCGAAAGGCTACTGGGGAAGTGATAACATCGTTCTTCAGGTCCCGATCTAAAATATCTGAAGATCGTGGACCTGGCGTAGAGGACCCCCGATGAATGGTGGAAATCTTGCGAGGAGTGTTAATGAGACTTGTCCTCCTATTGGAATCCATATAGGGTCTGGGATGTGACTGTGCATGGGGACGAACTGGTGATTTAGGATTTGCCCTAGGGGCTACAGGGGATGGTGGTCTGGAGCAGGTCATCAAATGTTTATCGCGTGCATGAAATGGATGTGTTGGAAGATGTTCCTGATGGTGTGGGTGTGTGTATAGTGATCGTTGTGATCTGGCTGTTTGCCAACTGTTTCCGTGAGGAGGGGGTCTCATAGGTCGGGGCTGAGTCGTCTCCCTGGATCGAGGAAGACGCTGCAACCTATAGTCAGACCTATGTTGATTGTTGGCTTCCCTTATGGGCCGTTGTGTGTGTTGTCTAGTGGATACAGGACGAGAGCCAGGGTTCATATGTCTCTTCCAAGTGAAGATGTTGCCGCCCTGGTAGTCATCCTGATCCCTCTCGAATTTCCCTAGTTTTTTATCGAGCAGAGTTTTTTTCAAATTTTAAGATCTTATTGTGGATGGAAGAATCCCATTCCGAAAAACTGGGATGATTATGATACTCATTGAGTTGCTCGGTGAGTGTGACAATTTTAGCTCTTGTGTTCTCAAGTAGTCATTTTCTCTGTTTAACTATCAAAGCTATCCACTCGCCAGAGCAATTAAGAGCTTGTTCATCCCATGTCTTTCTAAGATCTGGATCAAGGAAGCTGCACTGTTTAGTGATGCGGAGTCCTCTGGGGATCAATTTGGCCTTAAGATAATGCTTAAGGGTTTCCGCATCCCACCAGTGAAGCATTTCTTTTTCTAATGTATTTTTCAAACTATAAAATGCTTTGATCATAGGTTTAGTGGAATAATTTTCCGAAGAAATCTGAGGTGGTATATTAGGTTTATTAACTTTAGAAAAGTCCTTGGTAATGAATTAATTAAATAGGTTGGTTCTTCTGTTATGGCGATCCTCTATGGAAGTAGTCATGGTCGGATCGTTGGATGGTCTTGTATTGAAAAAATAATGGTTGGATGCCGTTAAAGGGAAAACCTGTAGGCAGCTTCTATAGTCCCAGAAAGCAAGGCAATTAACAAAAAATGAAGAAAGCAGCGCCAGAGGTAGTCATATACAGTCTTAGCGACAGAAAAAGCATAATTCCCATAATTATGATGATTTCTAGATGGCTCAGTTGCTAGGGTAGATAAACAATGAAGTCACCAGATACGTGAAAATGGCTAACACAAAAGTCTGTTTCTTTTTTCAAATAGTTTGGTTAAATAAGTTATTAGGTGCTTTGAGCTGAACATTAAGACAATTTATTTATTTGCTTATATTTCTGTTTTATATAATACATAATGATGTTATATTGTTTACTAACAGAATGACTAAATACATACAGGTGAAACTCGAATAATTAGAATATCGTGCAAAAGTTCATTTATTTCACTAATGCAACTTAAAAGGTGAAACTAATATATGAGATAGACTCATTGCATGCAAAGCAAGATAGTTCAAGCCATGATTTGTCATAATTGAGCTCATGAAAAACCCAAATCCACAATCTCAGAAAATTAGAATATTACATGCAATCAATAAAACAAGAATTGTACATAGAACAATATCGGACCTCTGAAAAGTATAAGCATGCATATGTACTCAGTACTTGGTTTGGGCCCCTTTTGCAGCAATTACTGCCTCAATGCGGCCTCAATGCGGCGTGGCATGGAAGCTATCAGGCTGTGGAGATTCCGCTGAGATTCCGCAAAATCTCCTGGTAGACGGCTGCGTTGACCCTGGACTTAATGAAGCACAGTGGACCAACACCAGCAGATGGCTCCCCAAATCAACACAGTGGAAACTTCACACTGGACTTCAAGCATCTTGCAGTGTGTGCCTCTCCATTCTTCCTCCATACTCTGGGTCCTTGGTTTCCAAATGAGATGCAAAATTTGCTCTCATCAGAAAAGAGGACTTTGGACCACTGAGCAACAGACCAGGTCTGTTTTTCTTTAGCCCAGGTAAGACGCTTCTGAGGTTGTTTATTGTTCAGGAGTGGCTTGAAAAGAGGAATATGACATTTGAAGCCCATGTCCAGGATCCGTCTGTGTGTGGTGGCTCTTGATGCACTGACTCCAGCCTCAGTCCACTCCTTGTGAAAGTCCCCAACACTTTTGAATGGCCTTTTCCTGACAATTCTCTCCAGGCTGCAGTCATCCCTGCTGCTTGTGCACCTTTTTCTTCCACACTTTTCCCTTCCTCATAACTTTCTATTAATGTGCTTTGATACAGCAATTTAGGCACATCCAACTTCTTTTACAATTACCTTTTGAGGCTTATCCTCCTTATGGAGGGTGTCAATGATGGTTTTCTGCACAACTGTCAGGACAGCAGTCTTTCCCATGATTGTGATTCCTACTGAACCAGACTGAGAGACCATTTAAAGGCTCAGGAACCCTTTGCGGGTGTTATGGCTTAATTAGCTGATTAGAGTGGGACAATTTGAGCCTAGAATATTGCACCTTTTCACAATATTCTAATTTTCTGAGATTGTGGATTTGGGGTTTTCATGAGCTGTAAGCCATAATCATCACAATTATGACAAATCACAGCTTGAACTATCTTGCTTTGCATGTAATGAGTCTATCTCATATATTAGTTTCACCTTTTAAGTTGCATTAGTAAAATAAATGAACTTATGCACGATATTCTAATTATTTGAGTTTGACCTGTAAATGCAATGATATAAAAGGCAAAATCTACTGTATTCTCAGTGAGCACATATTTTGAGTTATTATTTTAGTAGTTAACTTAAAGTCATTTTTGATCAGACTCACATTTTGAAATTCTTGCTCTTCCATATTCTTCTTATTGTATTAAACATAGAGATTTGTAGATCAACCACTAAGAGGAGCTTTGCATTTGAGCATTATTCAACACCCCTTGCTTTAAAGCATGCTGAAATCCAAGAACAAAAATGTAATATGTTGCAGCTTACCAGTCCTTAAATGTGATGGCTGCATTAGTTTTATATCTTCCGCCTTATTTGCTTTTACTTATTACCTGGTCATCATGTCCGTAACACACTTCTTCTCCTAGGGTGACAATGCTCACTCACTGCACTGTATCTATGGAGGAGCGGCGTTGTCATCCAAGGATAGAAGGTATGTTAAGACTTCAGAATACCTCCCTCGTTTACATGCAGTTTAAAAAGAATGTATATTTGGAACAAGGATTTCATTTACATGTATATCTTAAAAAACGGAATGTTCCTGTAGTTGACGTTTTATAATCATGACAAACAATTGACCTAGCGTGACCACCTTTTTCCTATTTTTTTTTCCTTTGATTTTATATAGCTGTAAAGTGTGGTGGGAACCTCAATAGTTATTCAGGAAAAATTTCTAGCCCCAATTATCCTGATCGCCACCAACCTTTTACCTACTGTGTCTGGCACGTGACAACACCAAAGAACACAAAAGCCAAGCTGTCATTTACTGAAATCTTGTAAGTTATTAATGAATATCATATTGCAAACACACATTTAGGCAATGGAAAGCTGGAACTAGAGATGAGCTGCTGGTTTGGAACTTTAGAGACTAGATATGAGTGCACGGGTAAACACAAGTCAGAACATGTGGTGGACTGAGCCTGTCCACTGAGCCTGTTCACACTAAATATATTATTTGGGGAACTGGCCCATCTAAGCATTGCACGGGCCAGTTTGGCATGGTAACAACCACTTACCAGTTCACTTTTCTAAGCAAAGTAGGACCCTGCTGTCCATAGAGAAAGGCTGTGCTCAAAGGGTATGGGCCCCCTCACTCTAGGCAGAGCTGCCCATATTCCTGCATCTACCTAGAGCAAGGACGGCTGGACGCTGTATGAGGGGATTTAATGCAGTTTGAAGTCCAGCCGTCCTTCCCTCATCTCTCTTAACTGAAACTCCGTACCTCCGAAAGAGCTATGCCCAGGAGAGAATGTGCAGAAGCCTGAGCTTTTCAGCTGTGATCGAGTGATCACAATTGCAAGGCTTTCAAGGCTTGAATGCAAATATTAAAGACATGCATATTTTTTTATATATTATTAATTATGCATTTTTTTTTATTTTTGCAAAGGGTGAACTTATCCATTAATGTTGCATTATGCAGTTGTCATAATGTTAATAATGTATGTTGCGATTGTCACCAGAGGTGCACCGAAATGAACATTTCAAAACCGAAATTAAAAAAAATGTCAAGCCGAAACGGAAAATGTTTTTTATTTTAACTTTTTCAAAAAAAAAAATATTTTATTTGTATTTATTTTTTAATAAACTTTTTTCATTTTTTTATATTTTATTTCTATTTATTTTTATGAAATGTTTTTATTTTTTACTTTACTTTTAGGTGCTTCAGGGAAATATTAGGGGTTTAAACAGACCCCTGATATTTCCCTTTTAAAATAGAAAAAGGGATTGAGGACACAGAGTCCTCAATCCCTTTTTCTTCAGCCCCTGTTATAAATGAACAGAAATCCTGTATACTGAGTGTTCCTGTTCATTCATAACATAAGGACAGAGTGTGTTTAGTATAACCACAATCATGAATGAACAGGAGGTGATGTAGATCACTTCCCATTCATTCATAATTGAGGATATAGTAACCATACAATGTCCTCAATTATATACAAACACTCAGCGATCACTGACTGTTCATACCCGCTCTCCTTCCTGACAGCTGTCACTGGAGGCTGGGCGAGCGGAGCTCAGCCTGCTGTGACAGCCCTGGCTGTCTCCACCCACAGAAGGCTGAGCGATGCGAGGAGGAGAGACGCCGGCCGCTCACAGCACTCTCCTCTTACAGTGCTCGGCCGCCTGTGACAGTTTCTCTCCTCCCTGCTGGGACACAGAGCAGCGCCCAGCGGGGAAGAGAGAAAGAATGGATGCACCGCTGTATCGGCCAGAAAATGGCACTTTCGGCATTATGCTTCGGCGGCCGATATATCGGTGCATCCCTAACTTTAATCTTTTTTTTCTGCAATTCAGTGTTTGTGGCAGGTACTGCCACCCCTTGAAGATTTAAATTTGAATTTAATAAAGAAAGTAGAAGGTGGCGTGAAAAGTGGAATAACCAATAGCAGCCTGTAGTCAGAGATACACCTCGGTTTAATGTGTGTTTCTTTAATGCAACAAATACTATACTGTTTTTCAGTTATTAAACAGTGATGACAATCATTTTTACCTTAGGCTTAGTGACTTTTGCTTCTCTGATATTCTCTCTACAGTGTTGAACCAGATTTTGCCTGCCGATTTGATTTCATTGCTGTGTATGATGGCCCAACTACAGACTCACCCCTTAAGGATGTGCTGTGTGGTCGTACGGTAGCTAATTTGGAGACTTCTTCCAATGAATTTACTTTGGTGTTCAACGGTGATTACGCCAACTCGTATTTTGGCTTCTCTGTTGACTACAGTGCCATACCAAAGACAAACAACAGTAAGTGGTAAATGAAAAAAATTAAAATGGTCTTTCCCAGCAGACGTATGCTGGTAGCAGGCTATATGGGGTGACTATATTGGAGTAGATAATAGGGAAAGCTGCCCAAAACTCATAATTCAGTGATGGCTTGGCAAATGTGGGCTGAATTACTTGATGGCTTCTTTAATCTCTAGCATGTTTTACTACACTAATTATTTGGTATAATTTGTCAGTGCTACCATCCCCTGCCACAAGGTCAAAATAAAAATTTCACATTGTTAGGGTTTGTGCACACAGGCATGTCAATGTTAATGCATGAAAATCAGAAGCAGCTCAGAAGAAAGATGCTAAGAAAGAGCTTATAGTAGATCAGTAGAATTCATTAAATCAGAGAAGGCTCAGAAGTTACTGAAAAGCAGCTCGGAAGGAACTCAGAGGCGAAGGGTAATCAAGACACAAGCTGAGGTACGGGGCGGGCAGCTGGCAAAGGGTAATCCAGGCACAAACTGAGGTCAGGGCTGGCAGAAAGCAAAGTATAGTCCAGGGAGAGGCCAAGGTCAGAACCGAAGACAAATAAGATTTGCAGGGACAGCGCACAGCTTGTATAGCCAGAACTATCACAAGCACTGGGGAACAGGCTGATGATGCTTAAATAGGGTGCCACCAGCAACAAGGCCAATCCCAGAGCAGGAGGTGTGTGGTTAAATTAATTAGGCCACAGCTGCCTAGACTAGTGCTGCAGCCAGCAAGACACAGGATGATTAACCCTCGCCAGTCAGGGCTGCAGTCAGCAATACTGGCTACCTGACAGTTAATCACAGAACAGCCAATCTCATAAGTATACATTAATAGTGTTGTTGGAGAATTGCTTTAATAAATATTTAAAAATGGATGTTATTTTTTTACAGGAAAATTATTTTGGTAAGCACAGAGCTTCACTTTATATTTTGTAGAGCATATGTAAAAATCGAAAGACCAAAGGTATGCATGCCCCAGAGGGTGTTGGTTTCAATTAGAAACGACGTCCTATAGTTTTCCAGTAATGAAAAAGGGTTAGATAGTTGCAGCTGATTACTATTCTGTTGATATTTTATCTTGCTCTATTGTAACTTTGATTATGCAAAAAACACATTTTTTATCGGACCACATGTTCTCATTTCCAGGCTCATTGTCTTGCTCTGGAGACTCGATGACTGTTGTCATCAATCCAAATTACATTGATTCACTGGGATACAATGCAAATGAGCTGACGCTGAATGATAAAACGTGTGCTCCTAATTCTGCCAATCCTGTTGTATTTGAGGTGCCCTTCGGCAGCTGTGGCACAGTTAAGAAGGTAGGTATGCAGCGTGTTCACCTTTCTGGAAAAAAAACGTGTGAGACACAAAAGTAGGAGGATATCAGTCAGTCAGAGAAGGCCAGCCTATATACATGAATGTTTCTCTGTTGGACTTGCCACAATGGGCAGTTTATAATAAAAGAAGGACTCTAGGCAAATATATAAGATTATCTGTAAAACACATGTTTTTGTAGGTTCAGAAAAAGTAGGGAAAGGTTGAAACCTCCAACAGGATTTTCATTGAGGTCATTGAGGTGTTCCATTGGGAAGATATCCCCTCTCTTCCTGTCCTAGAGACACAACAGGAAGTGAGAGGAAATAACCACAATAAGGGGAATCCCCTCTTAGACAGCTGTCACCAGATTAATTTTTGCCATTGGATTTCGCATAACCTTCTCTCTCGATGAGAATAGCCAAATATAGAACATATAAAGAGCTGAACCTCCCCAAATGGCAATAAAAACCCCCACAGGGGTTTTAAAAATTCTCTATGACATCCAAAAAGGGTTGGCTTTAGATGTACTGTAGGTGCACTTGTGTTTCTTTAAAAGTAGAAAAGTATAACCTATATAATGTATCTATATTACTATCTGTAAACTATAATAAAAAGGCAATAACCTGAATTCTGTCTCTATAAAGGGTTTCCTCATAGCGACTTAAATTAGACTTACAGTGGACGTTCCTTCTCGGTAATATGAGAGGTAGAGGGAGTAGAAGGTATACAAGAAGCAGAGAAATCAGGGTGGGTTTCCCTAGTACTTCAGAAAAGAGTTTCCCAAAATTTGCAGAACAGCTAGCTCTGTGAAGTATGGTCACCTTCCAGTCATAAAGCATATCATTAGGTTATGTGCATTCAGTTACCAACCTTTAGGCTAGCAGACATTTTCCTGAAAATGGGGTCTAGTTTAGTTATGTGTTCATCTCTTTTGGGAAGAGCCCTTAACATTTTGCAATTTTTATACAATCTGGGGGTTTAATTCCATTATAGCAAGTTTGATATTACGAAGCTAAAACTTTGTGACTTTCAAAATGCAACAGTTTTGTTATAAGGTTTCCTGCTTTAATAAAATGAATTATTAATTGGACCAAGTGGCTCACCAGATTTCATCCCCTTAGAGTTGCCACAGCAATAAAAACAGCGATAGCAATAAAGAGTGATCCTTAATTTGCTTTATGAGCCCCATCATTAGCACATTACTCTTTGCCTTATGTCATGGGCACTAAATACTCAATCTCAGAATTGGCCCATTTGGGTCTGTATCGATAGCCCCTAAGAAAATATACCTAGGGCTATTGAAAAAAAATGAGTATGCTACCCATGACTGCTGATTGAGTCATGCCTCTATTTTTTACCCTGTCCCCAGAATTCAGCATTGGTCACTTATGGATAGCAGAGACAAAGGGGTGGATAATTCTTGAACGGTTATCAGCCACAACTTTTCCTCCTTTAATTAGTAGATTCATTTACTCATTGTTGCAATATATTAAGCCAGGTTGCAACAATAAACCAAGAAAACATTCTGTATTAAAGTGGTACTCTTAGCAAAAGCATGTTGCTTTGGGTGCCAAAGGTTTCATGGCTATAGGCTCCAGAGATAGAAATCTGGACTTGTCTGTCCTGGAAGAATGACAGCTAGAAATTGATTGGTTCCACTGAGAAAGAATATATGCATTCTGTCGTGTCACACTTTCAGAATGGGTCAATGATTGAACAAACATAATAATCTATTTAATAGGTTTCTGCATGCATCCACGGTAGTATCTGCTTAAAGTTATATTTTTCTCAAATACAGCTGCAGGATCATACAATTTATTACACAAACACCATCCATGCAAGTACAGTTGGAGTGATTACTAGACGTAAACAGCTGCAGATCATTGTTACCTGTGAGCTGGAGAGTGACTCCATCGCTGAGATCATGTATGTGACCGAGGATGACATAATCCAGGATCAGACAGAGTCTGGAAAGTATGACGTTAGTCTGGATTTTTACCCAACAAACGACTTCATCACTCCAGTGCAAGAGTCTCCATACTTCATTGAGCTTAATCAGTCCGTGTTCCTCCAAGCTACAGTCCAGTCTTCAGATTCTGACCTCACTGTGTTTGTAGACACCTGTTTTGCCTCCCCGCAGGCTAATTTCCATTCACCAAACTATGATCTTATCAGACGCGGGTAAGTAGATGATATTAATTAGGACTGTAGATTACTTTTTTGGGGGGAAGGGTTCAGTTATCTCAAATATAAGATATTTTATATAATTGATTGACATCTCAAGATTTAAAAAAAATATACCAGCAGAAGACATCTTGCAGCCATCAGCAGACAGCCATGCACTATTCCCACGCAGAACTTGGAGGAAGCCAGGTACCACAGCATTGCCCACATACACTGGCATTACCATTACTAAGAGAGTGCTAGCCATGAGACCCCTCCTGCTCTGCCTGACACATACCCAGGTCATCCATTATACCACTCCCCAGCAGTTGGATATAAGTTTCACACTTCAAGGCACGAATCTGCCTCTGTCTTCTCAGTGTACATGCATGAGCTGCACTCCAGCCACACCCCACTAGTTGTGCGTAGTTCCAATGTTATGAGAAGCCAGCAACCCCCCATCTTCATGGCATGGCTTACTGCTTTGTGACACTTGTGGCCTTCCCACCATGACATAAGGTCCCACATGGAACAATAACTGCATGGAGTTTGTATGTTCTCCCTGTCTTTGTTTACCCCCCACCCAAATATCTGGTTCCTCTCAGAATTCAAAAACATACTAGTAGCTCATCTGGCATATGGGCCTAGTCTGGAATTCCTCTTCTACCACAGCTGCTCCTAAGCAACTTCTGAGATAGCTGAGGTTTAATAACAGAACTTTAAAACCGGGCCTGTAGGAATTAACAGTATGTGCCCGGTAACATGGACAGATACAGGGAAGTAGAGATCAAAGTGGATTACAATTACACAGCGGATAAGCCTTACACACAGTACATGTTCATATTGCTAATTGGCAGCTTTAGATTACCTAAAAAAAATTATAACATGCTTCTGTAGGTGGGCACATTCCTCCCTGCTGTCACCTGCATTTCCTTCTGTGGCCCCTAAAGTCACTGTGTGAGGTGGACCTCATAGAGACCTCCATCAGTACAGGACCAGCTGTGACAGCTCACCCAATTGCTGCTGTTTCTTGTGAACATAGAAACCTGCAGGGGAGGTCTTCTACTACCATCATCCTCAACCGTGCACTGCATTGGATGATTACATCAGTCAGAGCTACAAATTTAGTGAGTAATAGAAGACTTCCTTTGTTGGCTTCTGTGTTCACAAGTGTGTTTTACAAGGTTCTGCACTGATGGAGGTCTGGATTGGGTCAAATAGCCCAGGGCATTACAGGATCATTACACTTGTATGATCATACAATGCTGCAGCCATGCATGAGTGATCTTACTACTACATGCTACTTGTGTATCTTACTCCATTGGGAGCTATTTATTCCATATGTTTGACACACAATTACTTTTTTTGTCTTATAATTTATTACTGCTTATAATTACAATTATAAACTGGGCAGTAGCCAGCAGCTAATTGTTCAGATCGAAATCAAATACAATGGTCAAGTTCCAAATATCTAGCGCAAATGTCCATTCATCCCCCCTAAACATTACATCCTTTAATTATTTACTGGTTGCCTGGCTAGCTACCAGCATTCTATTTTGGAAGATCCACCCCTCATAGTGGACTGGTGGGATCCAAAGGGCCTCTTACCTGTTCAATTTAAACTACTTATACATTAAAAAAAAAAAAGTTTGAATGAAAACTAGAAAGTAGTCCTTTCCTACCAACCCTGATATTCTCCATGAAAATTATTGTTTGACCTGTTAAAAATTATCTGTGCCTATTAGATACCATGAAATGGATTTTACAATAGGCAGCAATGTGAAACATGTCTGGAATTGAAACTCAGCATATTTTATTAACAATACTACTGTTCTTCACATCTTCATAAATTATTGGAAGCGATCATTATTTCAACCTGGGTATACATGCCCGATATTATTTTAGTGCATTTACATCTTATAAAATTGTGTCCTTCTCACCAGATGTACAAAGGATAACACCTACCACAACTATCCCTCTGGTAGTGGCCTTGCCAGGTTCAGCTTCAGTGCCTTCAAATTCCTGAACACCCACCCATCCGTGTACCTCCAATGCCAGTTGGTGATCTGTGATGTCAGTGATGTGGGATCCCGCTGCAATCAAGGATGTGTCACGCGTCAACGCAGGGACCTGGGATCCAAAGTGTGGAAAACCAACACCGTGCTGGGCCCCCTCCGTCTGAAACACCACAATGAGCCCGAGGCTGCAGGTGAGATCATCTCTTATCACTTTCCATGTATGTATGAATGGGCTTTGTGCTGAAAATCACCTAAACTTGAGACGGCTCAATTTGCCCATACCAACCATTTTTTTAAACTCCGTGTTTTCAATATAAGGGAATTAAATTAATATTTAAATGTGTTAATATGTGCAAATTGAATCCTGCTTCCTTTAAACTCTGTGGGGGGAATGTATCAAAACTGGAGCAGAGAGAATCTGGAGCAGTTGCCCATGGCAACCAATCAGCATCTCTCTACAGTTTGCTCAGGTGAGATTTGAAAATGAGACAGAGATGCTGATTGGCTGCAGTGCAAATCTGCTCCGGTTTTTGTCTGCTCCAGTTTTGATAAATCCCCCTCTATGAAATTAGATATTTTCTGACATTAACAATATAATGGGGGGAATTTATCAAAGCAATTACGACAGTTTTAGCCTCTTAGATCATTTTTTTTTATGTGCAAATCTGTCTTTTAACATGTGCCCCTGTTTTCACCTGAGCTTGCACTACTTTTCCAACTGCACATGTTTTGCCCAAAGCTTGCACTACTTTTCCAACTGCACATGTTTTTTGCACGTGTTTTGCACGTGTTTTCTTCAGAGCTGCACTACTTTTTCAACTGCATGTTTTTTGCACCTGTTTTCATCTGCACTTGTTCTGGGGCTGTATGAAACTGGGGCATCACCTAAGAAAACAATCACAACTTAAGAAGTCCCCATGACCACTTCTTCAAGATGCGACAGTTAAAGGAGAACTATGAGGTGAGTGCTTTTCACTCACCTCATAGGGGTCTATTCACGAAGCTGCCCAGGGCAGTCGAGTGAATGACCAATCAGAAGTGAAGTGAGCCGAACACTGTTCGGCTATTCACTTCAGGCTCGTACGGCTGATTTCAGCCGTCCATCGGCTGAAATCAGCCGTACATCGGCTTGCTTCGTGTGGCTTCGGATCAGCCGAACATGCTCAGCATGTTCGGCTGACCCGAAGTGCAGAAGGAGTTCGACTCAGCCGATCCAACATCTGGATCGGCTGAGCCGAACCTCCGGCAGGCTTCTCACTGCTGTTCGACCGTTATACTAAGGAGAACTATGGGGAAAAGCCCTGACCCCATAGTTCTCCTTTAAGCTTTTTGCCTGAAGTTATGAGTCTTCTTTCCTGGAGTCTATTAAACCTCATTTATCAACAACATTGCACTAGCTTGATAAATCTGGTGCAAATATATTCCGTGCAAGTTCAAACACTCGCAATAGCTATGATAAATTCCCCCCCAACATGTCTAATGAAAATTACATTTATTATCAAGGCTTAGACTGCATTGATAAATAAGGTGCAAATAACGTGGAAAATTTGTCACTTAAAGAAAAGTGGAGCAACTCCCTTGATAAATTCCCCCCAATGTATTTATAAGACATATTTTGAGTTACTATTATTGCAGAGGTAACTATATAGTCATTTTTAAGAGACTTTTATAAGTTTAGATTGTTGTTCCATATTTTTCTCATAGTACCGTGTTTCCCCAAAAATAAGACAGTGACACTAGGTCTTATTTTCGGGGGATGTCTTACCTGGCTGCAGCTGTCCACTCTGCCGTCCAGGGAGCCACAGACAGGTGGGCGGGCTGGGGGGCGTGATGATGATGAAGAGCCGCTCG